ACAAGTTCTATTTAATAGATTTATAGAAATTTCATTCATGCTTTTGGAGTTTGCAACAGAATAACGAGTCTCAATATCATAATTACATAATGTAGATAGCATCATAACTTAAATCTTATTTAACTATTTAAATAAGGTCATTTTTAACTATTGTACAAATAAAATCTTTTAAAAAACTTAAAATTAAAGTCAAATGAATTTTTTTTAAAAAAGAAGCTAAAGTCAAATAAAAGATTTTTTTAAAAAGAAAAAAAAACCCTAATAAAGCGCTCACTGGGAAGATGAAAGAGAGAAAATAACAAATTCAATCGTTTAGGAGTTAGAAAAAAAAAGTCTAGGTGAAAAACGAGACGCTTTGCCCGAACTTCGAGTTTAGGCAAACTTTTTAAAATACTACTTTCTATTATACATAAAATGCTCTTTATAATATAATATTTATTTGAGATGTACGTCAAAACTTTATAAACAAAGACTTGCAAACTTAAAAAGCATACCTTCGATCTTTCTATAAGAAAGAACTATCTTATTTTAACGTCAAAAACTTATTTTCTTCATTGACAGCTAAAAGAGATATAAATATGAAGTATAAAAACCTTTAAAAATTAAAAATAATTTTCCCAAATAATCAAGTAATAAAAAACTCTAAAATTTAATAAAAAGATCCAAAAGAAATTGTCACTAATGAGGTCGATGTCCTCTTCTCTAGTCGAGTAAAAGCATAAAAAAAAAAACTAAAACAAATTAAATAGAGTTATTTCTAGGGCTGGGCAAAATGTCCGAACCGAACCGAACCGAACCGAATCAAGCGGGTTTTTTAAAATGAAATACCCGAACGGATATTCGAATCGAGAACCGAATGGTTTGGTTCAATTCTCGATTCTCGACCAAGAACCGAAAAACCGAATAAGAGCCGAATTTTTTTTTTTATATTGNTACGGAACCGAACAGAATCGAACGGTTCCATTTACTAAATACCCGAAAATTTTTGGAACCGAAAAAAATCGAATCGAACCGAACCGACTCGTGCCCACCCCTAGTTATTTATAACTGAGTTCAAAAAAATTAGTCATTCATCCAGATAGTTTCACAAATAGTCATTAGAGCTTGTGCAAAATTTAAAATTGCTTTATGAAGTTTTTTCTAACCTATTTTGAATGTCACATTGATATTCAACGGATAATCATTTTAAGTGCATGCTCTGCAAAAATTATAATTTTATAATTTGAAGTTAAAATCAACTTAATTTTAACCACATTCACTCTTAATATTTACACATTTCCTAGATACACCATTTCCATTAAATATCGTTACAATTTTTTTCTGTTTGGCCTCTATTATCTAAGAAGTCGTTTTCAATCACAAACTATCAAAATAAAATATTTTGTGTGTGTAACAATTTTTTTTCTACTTTTGAAAAACACATCTTTCAAAAATTCACTACTATAACATTCATTATCAACAAAAAAATGGGTTCAAATATTTGCTTAAAAGACATTTGACCAATTCAAGTGTCACATTGATATTCACCTTCCCCATTGAGATATGCGCATGAAATGTACTTGAAGAAAGTGGTCAAAACTCAGTTGAACTAGGGTCCGTTTGATTGCAAGAATGAAATTTGGGAGGAAAAAAATGAATTTCAGGGAATTGAATTGTCTAGAACTTGTTTTACTGAGAATTATCAATTAATTGTATTTGATTGGTATAATTTTCTACCTGAAAAATGTTAAATCTTTTGGTGTTCGTTTGACTTTGTTTGTCATGATCCAGTAAAATGATATAATTTGTTACCATTGATGATATAATTTGTTTCAATTGTAAAAAAAAACCCTAAAAAATCATTCTCACCAAAGTGGTGGGAAAACTAATTCAAGGAAAAACAAGAAAAGAGTAAAAAAAAAAAAAAAAAAGTCCAGAAAATCATTTTCTCACCAAAGTGGTCGGAAAATCAATTCAAAGAAAAACAAGAAAATGGAGTCATGTGGGGCTTAAGAAGGGAAACCAATTTCATGAAATTTTTGGCCAATCAAACATGTAATAACTTGAAAAACGAAAAATAATTTCCAACTCTCATGAAAAATAAACCCGATCAAACGGGGCTAAATGGTCTCCAAACCGGTCAAAATTCAGTTGAACTAAATAGAGGTATCCATTAAAAAAAGAAAGAGAGATTATATGCGTTACGCATAGGCGCCTTCAGGAAAATTACAAATATGGAGTGGAGGACAAAAATCTTGGATTCTGTTTCTACCATCTCATTTCCGTTCCAAGAAGAATACGAAACCCAAAAGAAACAAACTCTTGTATATTCATTTCTTCGCCTGGTATTATGCTGTGGGCTCTTCTCTTCTCTCTCTCTTTATAATTGATAGTTTAAAATTTGCTGAGTTCTTTTCGGTATGTTTTTTCTCTCATTGGAAACTGGAAATTTTAATATTAATTTCGAGTCTGATTGTATTGAAGAGCTTTGCTTAGTGTGATATGGGTTCTAATTGATGCTTCAGGAAATTTTCGAGGAAAATTAGTAACTCCATTTTGGCGCTTTGTTTCTGATTGAATAGTTATGGCGAAGAAATATAGTATGGTTATTGGAAATAAGATATTAGAAAATCACTTTATCCCACTTGGTTCCATCTTAGAAAGGTCAATCTAAGAAGAGTAGCACAACTCCGACTTCAGTATTTAATCGATGTTAAGGTCACAATCTATATTACTTCAGTATTATAATGGTTACGCTGGTGTTCTCAAATGAACCACCATCTTGCGCGGAACTTCAAGGCGTGGGGGCTTGTTTTAGATGTGGAGTTTTACCCTTAACTTGGCCAAGAAGATGGTGGCTCAAATGAGAATGCCAATCTTGGAATCCGATTGCTTGTTTGAGGTTTGCTCTGGGATATGCTACTATATTAAGAGTAGGTTCCATCTTAAAAGATCAACATTGTTAAAAGAGTAGCCCTAGTACTTATATGTTGACTTTTGATTTGATTTGTAGTCGATTTGGATTTATCCCTCAAGTTTTGAAGTAGGTTTGGAAGTTAGATTTCTTTTTTTCACCTTGACTTATTCTGAAGAATTTTGAAAATTAATTGTCTTTGATTATGTTCTCCTCTTCTTTTTCTTCCTTCTATGATCAACAAGGATCATATTGTGCTACATAGCAGTTATTTGAGGTACCCTTGTTTATGATAAGCAAGGATATATTTTAGAGAATATAATGCAAGGGAATGGAGAGACCAGATGAGGTGGAGTAGCGGTACTTGGTTTTTATATGGGATCTGCATATACTTAGACAAAGGAAGTTCTATAGTACCTTTTGGATAAGCCATGCTTTATGTCACTTACGACTGGCCGTTTAGGTGGAAAATTCTGTCAGATGAACTTTTTAGGGACAAGCAAACAACTTCTGATTGTTGTGCACGGTGGTGATTGCAACAACTGGGCAAGCAGATATATAAATTACCAAGTGGAAAAACTTAAAATAGCAACCCGAAATTTTATGTGGTTTGGCAAAGGAAGTTCTATAGATTACCTTTTAGACAAGCCATGCTTTAAGTCACTTATTTCTGGGCCATTAAGGAGAATTTTTTTGCAGATGCAAACTATTTCTGATTGTCGTTCAAAGTGGTGATTACCCTCTGTGTGGATATGCACTTTTCATGTATGATTATTTCATGTTCATGAAACTAACAAGGGTAAGTTTAAGATAATTGATTTTTTAGACCTATCTTGAAATATTTGCTACTTTTATTCCTTATGATGAACAGTGTTTTCAATACTAACATGAGAAATAAGGAACATATAATAGTTCGAAAAGGTTGATGATCATAGAGCGAGGGAATAATTTTTTCCTTGAACCAGGATCAATCTGTGATGCTGTCATCTGAAGGAACTAATATGGTGTTCAAATCCTACCAAAGCCAAGTGGAGCTGCTTCTCCAGAACTATGTACACGCAGATCCTGTTATTCTCTGCACTTCTGTCATCAGTGGCATTTTTGCTTGCAAATTGGTATGGACGCCTCATTTGTTTCACAACTCATTAATGATTTCACATATCCAGCATAGTGTTAATTATATTAAAATAATTCTGTTTAGAATTTCTCATTGTTTCCTATATTGGGATTAACTTTTCTTTTTTCCCGGATAATGTTCTATTATTAGCTAAAAGATCTTTTATTTGATCAGTTAATGTTTCACATTGGTCTCCATTACATTATGTATTTATTTATGTTCAGATATACGATCTCAGCCAGTTAATGAGTCCAGGATACTTTAAAAGCTATTCAAGCCTTGCAAAATCCAAACAAATTGAATGGAACAACCGGTATGTGGATTCTCTGTTTTGTTCTTATGACCTAAATCATTTTAGGTTCAATAATCCTTGTTAGTATTGAGTTTTAATTAATGGTTTCTTGTCATGCAGTGCCATATCTACGAGTCATGCAATATTCATTGCAACCATGTCTTTGTATTTGACACTCTGTTCAGATCTATATTCTGATGACCAGCTTCGTGGCCCTATTACACTTCGAAGTTCAAAATTGTCTACATCTGCTTTAGGAGTGAGTAATTTTTCTCCTCCTATGTGCTTGTTGTCCCGAGTTTTACTGTTGAGATCCCTTTTCCACCTTCCATAAAAGGAGTAAATTGAAAAGGTTTAATGTAAACAAAAGCATATTCACTTTTGGAAGAGCTTACAAATGAATCCAATGTGCATGCTTCAATTTTCTTTGCCTTGCATTTAAATGCTTTTTTGAATGCTAATTCTTCTTTCCATGTTTGCATTTTAGGCCAATATCAAAATCTTATTCCAGGAAAGGAAAGCAACACTAGTATTGGTAGTGAATCATAGATTTCTGAAACCAACTTATGCAGTATATATATTGATTTGAACTAACCTGGACTATATTGGAAATGCACTTTAAACTCCCCAGTGCTGAACACCAACCCCTCTGACATGCTTCATGTCATATTAATTGATACAAGCCTATGTCTGATATCAAACTGGATGTTAATACTAGTCAATTGCCATGAGATTTAAATGGTGACCCACTCGATAATCTGTAGTTTCTCTAATCTGATAAAAGTGATCATGTATGGTGAAACTCTCCGTAATTGGTGGCTCTAGTACATGTATGGTTTCTAAAATCACAAATGAACATAAAATTAAAAAATAAAAATAAGATGAGTTGAGATGTAAGTCAATATTTCTAATTTGGACCATCGGCCATTCTTAAGCCATTTGGTTGTAGTTTTTTTACTTTCTCCCTGGGTAATTCTCAAGTCTCTACTTGTGTTAATATATTTTAGTTCAATTGCATTTAGTTAACACTTTTAGGTTTGGTTGACTATTAAATTAATGATATGCAGTTAAATACAGATTTAACTAGATTTAGATGCATTGAAGATGTTTTGAGCATGTCTAATTTTGTAAACAAAGAGGGCCACAGATCTCCTCGGCCATGATACCTTACAGTATATGATGATTGGTCAGATAAATTAGAAAATTTCAAGGCAAGAAGCATAGATGGAGGAGCATTCCTCTTTTTCAACCAGTTTTCCACAAATATTGTGTTACTACTGTTCTAGCCTTTTTCCTTGGTATGAATGGAAAAGACAGATAAACTTTTGAGGTATATCCGCTAGTAATGAAGTCATTATTTCCTAATTGATCAACTAATTAAAATAAAGGATTATGAACCTTTGGGTCAACGGTAAAGAACATTCTCTAAAGCAATTGTGGGGTCTCATTGCATTAATGTTTTTATCATTACATTAAAAAATGTTTTAATCATTTTCATCTTTTTTTGATAGGTATCTGTTGGTTATTTCATAACAGATCTCGGCATGATCCTTTGGTTTTATTCTTCTTTAGAGGGAATGGAGTATGTAAGCACTGTCCTTTTTGATTCAGATATATATTTAGTTGCCTTGTTTATACTTGTTGCCACTACGTATTAGTGCGACGTTGTCATTGTTGTTTATCGCTACTTCTGCTATATCAACCTGTTGTTTTGACTAGCATTAGGTGGAATGAACTTTAGGAAATGATCTTCATTCCACTATATCAAGTGAATTGAAGTTCAAATCACACTTAAAACCTTCAATTAATGTGAAAAGTGGTATAAAAGATGAGAGATGAAATTGAGTGCAGATTTTAATGCATATTTGGGAAGTGATAAAATTTAAACCTAAGTGATTATAAGCCGTGGGTCGTATGGAATGTGTGAATAAATTAGTGGATAGAGTTGTGGGTCGTACAAAATGAGTAAATTATAAGCCTGAATGTTTGCCTGGAAAGTGAGATTATTTGTCCAAATCTGATTGTTGACTACAATATGGGTTGTTGACCAATGAACATAATAACTTGATCATAATATATTTGGGGCCTCCAATTTGACCCTGAGGTCCATTTTTTCACATGCACATTGGAAAAATTGCAAGCTAAATAAAGTATTTTGTCTTGGAAAGTACTACCTTTTCAATACCATCTTACCCCAAGTTGCAAGGGTAATTTTACATATAAAGTTTGGTGTAACGCATCTCTAGCTTCATATAGAAAGTTATACAGGAAAATATTTACATGGGTTTCTGATACTAAAAGGAAATTATAGATATGCCATTAATTGGTGGCTATAAAAAATTTTAAGTCGGTAATGGTAAGCAAAATGTTAATGAACTTATTTCAGGTAATTCATCATCTTCTTTCTTTGACGGGCGTCACCTATGCTATGTTGACGGGTGAAGCGCAGGTTTACACCTTCATGGTTCTAATTTCAGAGGCAACTACCCCAGTGATCAATCTGAGATGGTAGAGTTGGGATGCCCATACTCGTTTTCTAAAGTTAGATTTTGTTTGCACCTTTTAATATCAATCTGGATCTTTTGAAAAAGGTATCTTGATGAGGCTGGAATGAAGAGGTCCAGAGCGTACATTATCAATGGAGTTGTAATGTTCTTAGCATGGCTAGTAAGTGAAATAGTAAATTTACATAATGGCTACAATAGTGATTTTTATGGTTTTCTGCACCTTTTACATTGCATTGCCAATCGACTTCTTCGGCAAATCTTGTTTATTTAGAATTTTCCATAACGGTATGAAATGCCTAATAAAATCTGTTGTTTGTAGGTTGCAAGAATACTACTGTTTGTTTATTTGTTTTATCACGCCTACCTGCATTATAATCAGGTAATATTAATAAATGTTGAAGCTTGGGCTACTCTGGAACAATGGTTGCTATTTTACATCTTTACTTATTTTCTTATGAGATTAACATTGAAGTAGCGGATTTTTTCAGTAGAGATTTAAATTGCGGGAACCACAAAATACGTGATATTCATATTCTACTACTCTTTCCTTCATATTTAAAATCAGTAAAGCATAATTGATCCAGAAAAGAAACATATTTGCAGAATAAATGCTTCATTGTTTTTTTCGCTTTCAACTTTCAGGTTGTAGCTCATATTTATCAATAACATCTCGACTTGGCATTTCATTGTACTATTCTTTTCTCCTGCAACAGGTGAAGCAGATGTATCTCTTTGGGCGTGTATTGGTACTTGTCGCTCCCTCAGTGCTCACTGTCATGAACTTAATTTGGTTTTGGAAAATTTTCGAGGGATTAAAGAAAACGCTAGCAAAGAGGCATTGAGTTTTATTGTGCACGAGGAATGCCAATTATACTTATATGCAATTCATATTTACCTGTGAATTCCCCTGTAAAAAAAAAAGTGAAAAGGATACAGAGACAGATAAGCGAGTATACACACACGCACACACATGGAGTAGGGAACGAGGGGTACTGGTTTTGTTAATAGGGAGTTAACATTGTTGAGGATGAAACATCTTCCGCTTGGTGCATCAAAATTGCAATTCTGTATTATAAACTTAAAAGGTGAAGTGGAAGAGTGTATAGTACTTTAACAGTGTTTTAAATGAAAAGATAACTTTCATTATTCCTTAATTTTTCGTCGACTTGGTACTTTTCTGTAGGTAATGTAGGCTTACTTCTACCATTAATCTTCTTTCTTCCGAAGCTAGTTTTCTAAAATCCATTCTCTCTCGAAACTCATTTTCAACCAAAAATTTCACGAGATTCCCAACTTTTATTAACTTTTTAACTCCATTTCATCAATTTTACTAAAAATCTGATTTTAAATTAAACCAAACAGGGGCTTAGCGAAATTGACAGTCTCTTTCTCGCACACTAAAATGGGTATTGTGTTCAAAGGATGATGGAGGAGTTCAGATGTCTCAACATTTTTGTAACATTGTGAAATTTCAAATTTTCCTAATAGTGTTATATAATTTCTGAAGTAGAAATGGATAAAAAGACTTGAGAATGATGAGAATGTATCACACGAGTTCTAGCCTTGTCATCGCTCATTTTGACAAATGACCTTGTCTGCACGTGAAGGAACATGTTGAAAATAAAATTTAAATGATACTTACGATCTTTTATGAAATCTTTATTTATAGAATCGCGTTTCAAAAATTATTTTTATGAATGATACATTGGCGTTGACTTCTTTTCTAACATTCTTTCTCGATACTTATACCACAAAATATATATTTACTACTTTTCAACCCAAAAAAGGAAAATGTTCTCAAGTTGTGAAGCTTATGCAATAGACAAGCTTAGGAGTTGTTATATCACTATTAGACAAGTACTAATGCATTAAGAAATGCATACAATAAATAATTTTAAAATGTATAATTGATTATTCTATTCAAAAGATGAATTATTTATAAACACCTCTTGATTGTTTTCTCAAAGGCTTTCTATAGAAACAGCTTTTGATGATGTTATCCAGCTAACTGCATTTTGTATGGTAAAGTAAATACTATGAACAAGTTGATTGCTTCAATAGTGTACGTTGACTAAAAAGTACGAGAAATTTAGGGGTTGTTTGACAAAGTTTTTGACAAAAGTTTTAGCATATTTTGACAAAAGTTGATGAAATATGTGGTTGAAAAGTTAATAGAAATTGTGGATCTTATGAAACATATGATTAAATTTAATTTTAATTGGTTTATTAGCTATTCCAAACAAACACTTAGGCTATGTTTGATTCAACAAAAATTCTATTTCCACCCAAATGGCATGTTTGATTGGAATTCATTTCTTGGTAATTAATTTTTCACCCACAGCCCCGCACGTGCACAATTCTTGAAACAAATATATTTTATTTATTTATTTATTTTGAAACAAATTCTATCCCCAATTGTAATTTTTTTTTTCCTTTTAATGGATAATTTCCATGGAAAACAAAGTCAAACGAATACCAAAAGATCCTAGATTTCAACATTTTTCAGGTGGAAAATTATATCAATCAAACACAATTAATTGACAATTCCCAGTAAAATGAATTCTAGGTAATTTAATTATCTGAAATTCATTTTCTTTCTATCAAAATTTCACCATTACAATTAAACGGACCCTAAATGTAGAGACAATTACATGAGATAAAGTTGACCATGCACATATTCAATCAGTCGCGTACCTGTATGCACTAGGAATAACAGAGACCACCACCCAAATTTAGACACCATATGTGGTGGCAAGAAACCATAACAGAATCAAGTACTGGTTTAAAATGCAACCTATTCGAGCCATTTACTCCTAAATGTGACAAATCCTCTGCTATGTCGAACTGTAAGTGCAAAAACTAAATTTTACCATATTGTGTATTCTGTAATAGAAATGTAGGTATATAAAAGAAGTGAAAAAGAAGAGGAAAAAAACGTATAAATCGCAACATGAAATTTGTGTAGTTCTATCGCGTAAATTTTTCTTCCTATTTAAGTTTTTAATTCTTTATCAGACACCGATCGTTTTTGCTGCATAAACCTTCTCAATACTCCATCCATGGCCATATCAAACGCGTCTTTAACATTCC